GCCACCTTCTTCCAGTCCTGAATGGGGCCTCAGCCAGGCCATAAACGCCCGGCCAGCCGCACCATTGTGCTAATTCCCCTTCCAGAACAGGTTGGGCCCACCCCCAGCCCCCTCCCGGCCAGGCTGGGGGCTTTCTTCTTGCTCTCCCTGGATGTGTGAAGCAAAAGGCCTGGAACGGGGCTAGAGCAAAAGGGGAAGGAAAGGGGGGGAGTGGTCTCTCTCTCTCCCACCCCCCCACTGCTTCAAAGGCAGCCCCTTTCCCTCTCCCAGAGAAAAGGCATTTACCTTCAAAAAAAGTCCCCACTGGATATGAAGAGAAGCGGGCCTCTGGCCTGGGAAAGCCAAGCGATCTCTCCCCAGAGCGGTTCTGGACCACTGCATTTTAATAGCTGCACTTTTATGGAGGATCACAAAAAGGGACCGAGCCTCGCATGGAGGGCTGAGGCTGGGGGTGGCTGACTTGGGTTGGGGGGAGCCGGGGAAGCAAACCCTGAATCTTGTCCCAAACAAACCTTCCCGGGCTTGACCTCATTGCTCTGTAGGTAAGGAGTCCGCCGGCTTGCTGGGCAGTCTGACTGCCCACATGACCCCCAAGACAATGAGCCTGCGGGACTTGGTTCTGGGTGGGCACGGGCTGGCCAGTGGAACACACAAGTGGCTTGGGTAGAAATCTGTCCTTTCAAGGACAAGCTTCAGCTGTGCTATCATCTTCTCCCGCGGCTCCCAGGCCCCAGCCCTCAGGCCTGACTGCCCCATGCTCTCCGCCTTGGTGGGGGGGGGGGCCCAGTGTGGAAAGATGGGGAGAAGCAGAGACACCAGCGCAAGGAGAGAGGGCCAGCAGAGGGAAGACAGAGATCCAGACGGCTGCCGTAGTCGCTTCTTAGTCCACTAAAGACTGACACCCCCCCCCCAAACCTCAGCACCTCCTGGCCCCAGGGAGAGGTCAGAACTTGCCTCTTTCCACCCAGAAGGACTCCCCTGCACCATTAGGTGGTGTGGGAGATGCGGAGAGCAGCTAGTGAGGCGCCCGCCTACCTGTGTTTGACAGCAGAGAATCAGTAGTTGCAAGCACCTGTGTGGGGAGATAAGGCAGACCCGGGTGTAGGTGCCAGCCGCCAGCCCGGGGCCCCCTGGGTGCCCCCCACAACCCACCCTGCCCGGTCAGTCAGCCCATCCATCGCTGGGGGTCCGGTAAGACTAGGTGTGCCCCAGGCTGCAAGGGGGGAGACAGCGCACTTACAGAGTGAGGTTGGGCAGCAGGCGGGCGGCTCCCATCGCTGGAGAGATTCTTGGGGCAGTTGCCCCCCTGCCCCCAAACTCTGGAGCAGATGTGGGCAGTCCCCAGGGGTAGAGTCAGAGAAGCCAAGGTCTCTTCAAGCCACAGGTTTTCAGGGGGGAGAGGAGGAGAGAGGGGAGGAGGAGGAGAGCGGAGGGAGAGGAGGAGGAGGGAGGGGGGAGGCGTAATTGGGAGACTGAGGTGTGAGGTGTCCACCTTCCTGGCCAGTGAGGCTGCAAAGCAGCTGTTGGCGGGGCTGCCAGCTTCTGGCTGGGCTACCCAAGCAGAGGATGGAGCTGCTGGAGCCTTCTGGGTAAGGCTGCTGGTCTCCCACAGTTGGTTTCCGTGCTCGCCCTGACCCTCTGGGGCCCTGTGGGGGGCCCCTCCTCCTCTCAGGGTCAGCCGCTCCTGCCCTCAGGTTTGGTGCCCCACTTCCCTGAGGGGAGCACCAGGGCAGGTGGCAGTCCAGCCCGCTGGTTGCTGGTTGCTGGGTCTGGCTGCGCGGCTAGAAATCCCCAGCAGCAGCCTTAAAAGGAGGAGCCTCCCTCCAGGGGGCAGGAGGTGGGCTTGGCTGGGAGTGGTGGCTGCCACTACTGTGTCACCCCTTGCTCCCCCATCTGCTGTCTGGCCACCGGGAAGGGGGAGTTCAGGCTGTACTGACTGACTGCAAACAGTGGGTGCAACAGGTTGGGGCTGGGGAGGGAAGGCAGGTACGGTGGGGCTTTGGGAGCTGGAGCACTGGCCTGCACCCTCAGAGGAGCTGCTGTGCGGGGCTGCTGGCACCCCTGGCCACGGGGGGCGGTGAGGATGTGGGAGGAGCAAATGAGAGAGCCTCCCAGGAGGACGTCCAAACGTGGAATACGTTCTTGGCCCCAATTCTGCCCCCCACCACCCCTGCCAGCCTCTCCTGTGTCCCCTAGCAGCTGCCTGGGCTGAAGTGCCCACCAGACTCTTCACACTCCCTGTGCCATGTCACTTCTCATCACCCCAGTGTGTGGACAAGGAGACCGAGGCACGCAAGCAGGCAGGCCACTCTGTCCAGCTGCCCCAGCCGTGAATGGGGTAACCAGGTCTCCAAGTCCAAGCTCTTTCTGTTGCCGGTCGCGGCTGCAGCTCCTACCCACTGCAGAGGTCAGAGGACACTCTAGCTATTCCTTCCCTGCAGAGGGGGTGAGTGCCTAGGGACATCTGGCAGGGGACCCCGGTCCAGGGGAGCAGAGCTCACCCCTCCTGCGCTCAGGGCTCCCTGGAGGTCTCAGCGCCCCTGGAAAGGGACAAGAAGGGGAAGTGCTGGATGCGGATTTATTTACCCAGGGAGAGGAGTGGGAAGCCGAAGTTCTCACCTCCAGCCCACCTTGTCACCTCCTGGGCTAGATCAATCCACAAAGTTGTCTGCCACCTCCCTTAGGCCTTGGCAGCACTGACCCATCCAGCCCAGCCCTCCCCAGGCACCCCACCAGGAGAGTGTCAGGGGATGCTGCTTACCAGGGTGCAGCATTCAGGAACCAAACTGGATGTCAAAACTGGAGGGTGGGCAGAGAGCCCTCCCTGGTCCTGCCTCACTCACCACAAAGGCCTCGCAGCTGGTTGCTAGTTAGAGGCACAGTGGGGATCAGGTGCCCGGCACCCCGACTTGGTGCTCCCTGCTCTCCAAATTCCCCCAGCCCCCCAGTTCTTTGCCTTTATCTGTGCGATCCTCCTGATCACTTCCATGCTGCACAACTGTCCTGCTGACACCCCATCCCCACCTCTCTGGTGACAAGATGCCCAGTAGTCAAGCTCGGCCTCTGGGCTGCTGGGAATTCTGGGGCATGCTGGGTAGCTTGTTTTGCAGGAATCTCTGTCCGCTCATCTGCACCTGTGGGCCTGGCTAATGGCCCCTTTCCCTCTGTGGGAGGGATAGGGGCATGCTCTAAGTGGGGGGCGGCGTGGACAGTGTGCCATGACTGGACTCTGGATGCATCCCAGCCTGGTCTTGGTCTTTCCAGGCTTCTGACCTGTGTCCAGTCCCGTCACGTTTCCGACCTCAGCTTCTCCTCTATAAAAGGGAATGGTTACTGCTGCTTAAACCCCAGACTGCCACTGTGAGTGTTAGCTGAGGGGATGGGCATGCTCTGAAGAGCCTGGGGGTGTGGGGAGGAGGCAGAGACCCTTTATGTGGTTCAGCCTCAGTTTACCCAAACTGACTTTCTCCCTGAAAAGGAGCTGACAGTGGGGGAGGGTAGGGTTCATTAACATTTATGGGGGGGGTGACAGGAGGTGATAAGGGAAGTGAGGCACTGGTGGTTAATCCCCACCCCCTAGTGCCAAGTTCAACACCCCCCAACTGGGGTGTCTCACGCCTGCTCCTCCTAACAGCCCAGCTGGGGCAGACAGAGACCTGCAGAGCCCACCTGCCGACCTGCTGCTTGTCACCACCTGCTTCCACCCTGGCCCACCCTTTTCCTGTTGAAAAGCAGAGGGCAAGCCCTGAGGAAGGGCACCCTAGCAATGCAGAGACCCCCCCATCTTTGCTATTTGATCCCTACTGCCTACCATCACTTTGAAATCAAATTACTAAGGATTTAGCTGTGAAGTGCCCAGAGAACTGGGGCACTCGCCGAGGATTAGCAAGGGAAGTACCTGCCGGGGTGCTTCACTACAGGCAGGCTCCGGCTTCCCTGTGCATTTAACTCTGACGCCTGTTATCAGCTTCCCAGCATCCTGGCTGCTGTCCATCTCTCCCTCCCACCCACACAAAGCTACAAACATGGACTCTTGGCCAGACTGCCTGTGTGTGAATACTGGCTCCTTCACTGGCTGTGTGACCTTGGACAACTTGTTTAACCTCTCTGCCTTACTTGGCACCTCTCAGAAATGGGCTGATAAAGCCACCCACCGTGCCCCTGCCAAAGTGGCTCTTCAGGCCTGGGGGTGCAGAAGCCAGAGCCAGGCAGCAGGTCATTTAACCCTCTCCGGGCCCCTGGGGGCCTCACCCCAACAACTTATTGAGCCCTGAGTCGCCCAGGGGAAGCCCCCCAGGGAGGTGGAAGTGTTCCTCTGCCCATCTCCTGAGAGGGTCCCTTTAAAGTTTCTGCCCAGCCTGCTGCCTCCCCCAGCTGGGCGGCTCTGCTCGAAGGGACAGGCTCAGGGCCCGGCTCAGGGCCCCTGCCTGACACAGTCTTCATGAGTGCGGTCCCTGCGACCCGAAGCTCACTGAAAGGGAAGTGTCAGCCTGGCGGAGCAGCAGTATGGCTGTGGCTAGTCAGTACCTAGGTGCAGGTACTAACTAAGGGGAGGACGCTCGGGCTGGCCCCACACAGGGCCAGGGCCCATCTGCACAGGCTGGGCGCTGCAGCCCTTCAGTTTGTGCTTGGAGACTGATGCTGCCAGCCGGCAGCTCCCTTCCTCAGGCCCAGGACAGAGGCTGAAGCTGGGCCAGGGGCTGAGCCCTGGCTCTTCCCCAGAGCTGGCGGGTCGGTGCGGTGCTGTGGGGGGGTGGGAGGTGCCAGGAGGAGAGAGGGGGGTGGAAGAGCAGAGACAGCACAGGCCGGCAAGGCACCTCAGGCTGGAGCTTGAGCTGCCAGAACTAAGGGCGCTGCCACATGCTGCCCTCTGCTGGACACACGGGTCACTGCTGTCAGCAGGAAGGCCGGCCCCTGGGAGAGGCCACAGACAAAAGGTCACCGCAGAACAAATTTTATTGTGGCCTTGAGGTCTGGTTCTTTCCTCAGGCAAACTGGGGAGCTGGGGAGAGGGTTTCCTGTGTTCAACCCCCAACACCTGCATCACATTCAGACTCAGATGGAGGGGGTTTGGTGTGGCACCCCGAGGCTAGTGGTCACTCTGCAGGGTGGTCTCCCGGCCTTCATTATGGAGGCTCCTTATTTCTTAGATCCCAATTTTTTAGGCTTAGGTGTGACTCTGGCCTATAGAGAGAAGAGAGAGTTCCAGTTTCCCTGACCTGTGCCCCCCCCTCCTCTCCCCCCCCCCTCATCAAAGGGAACCATCCCCTCGCTCAGTACTCACCTTTTTCACAGGACTCTTGTCTTTAGATCTGCAATAGGGTCTGGTGGGCAAGGGGTGGGGGTAGGTGGGAGAGAGCGCTCAGCCTGATGCCAGGAACCCGCCAGCGCCCTCTCCTGGGAAGCGGGCTGCAGGTGAGGTGGACAGTGGCCCCACCTTGCCTGCCTGGGCCACCCAGATTCTTTGAACAAGATGTTTTTTCCTCTTAGGCTTCCATCTGCTTTCTTTTATTTGTCATAAATACACCTTTTCATTATAAAAGTAATGTTAACAAAATACAACACAGTAAATTACTATTTTTTTTCTACCTCTCACCAGTATTAATAGTTTGGTGTATTTCCTTTCGGGATTTTTGTTTTCTTCTAAATACATGTGAGAGAAAATGAAAAGTGATGTACTATCTATTCTTTTAATTTTGTAAATAGTTTCCGGGTTGCTATCTTTTTTGCAGGCATTTGGAACTTCCCATAGAGAAGAGGTGAGCACTGTTATGTTGGTAGACATTTAGGGTGCTCCCATTTCTCACTATTATTTGCATTATGCAGGAATAATTTTCTTAGAGCACATAATTCATGTGATGTTTTGGATGGCATTCTTAGAAACGTGTAAGTGAGAATTAGGCCAAGGATAAGAACACTTTAATGGTCTCTAAAAAGGCCGTGCCACCCTGTGGCAGCCCACTCATGTGACTTCCCTGGGCAACTCTCGTGCAGACACACACACGCACTCACGGGTACACCCCCATGCATGCACAGATACACCCTCTTATTTTCAGCACATGTGTCTCAGCTAAGTTAACGAGCAAAAAGAGTTACCTTACTTCTTCCTCTTCTTTTTCCATCCTTCTCTTCTGAGGAATGAAACTAGCATTATTAGGAGTCAGGATGAGGCCCAGGGCTGAACAGACTCCCATGAGGGCTTGGACTGGGGGGCAGGAGGGCTGCCTCCTGTGCCCTGCCTGCTGCCTGGCTCCTGAAGAGCCCTGGGCAACTTTTTCTCACCTTAGCGACACTTGCCTGCTTCTGGGGTGCCAGCCGCTTGACTTGCTTGACAGGGGTCTCCTCCTCAAGCACATCTATGTCATCATCGTCCTCTTCCTCCTCTTCCTCCAGCTCCTCCTCTTCCTCTTCTTCCTCCTCCTCCTCTTCCCAGGACAGGTCAGAGGTGTCTGTGATGGCATGAGAAAGGCTTCTGCACTACAGGTGTGCCTGGTTCCTCCCTGGGCTCTCACTGAGGAGCTGCTCTTGGGAAGCCTCGCGGAGTGCAGTGCTTACCTGCCATCTGTGTGCAGGCCCTCCTGGACTCCCTGACCAGGTGGAGGGACCCAGGACAGCTCCAGAGGGTGGGAAGAGGCAGAGGAATCATATGGGGATGGGTGTGAGGGTGGGTGCTGGGGGAGGGGGAAAGAACAGCTGAGGAATTCAGATCTTATCCTAAGGTAAGTGGAACCTGGCAGAGTTTGGGGTGGGAGAGGGCCACTAATGATGACGGGCCAGTCTGAGGGATGTTAAGAGTGGCTGGCACCCCAATTTACTGGGCTCCATGTTACCAGGACAGACCAAACTTCCAGTGGTCAACACTGAAGTCAGGGTCTATACGAGACGTGACCCTAGGTGCTTTTCTTGAGCATCTGACTTATTCTCACAAGTATGGTTTGAAGATGATACCAGTTGCCCACCCTATGTTACTGAGAATGAGGAAGGGAGGTGAGGATGGGGAAGGGGTGTCAGAAGTCCCTCCCAGAGCCTCCCAGTCCAAGCTAGAGGAGATGCTCTGCCTTTGGGAGGCAACTCAAGGTGCCTCAGTGTTTTGTTTTTAAAGATTTATTTTATTTATTTATTCATAGAACTAGGGTGTAGGCCAGAGGTGCAGGGAGGGTGAGAAGATTCACCAGAGTGGGGAGTAGACAGGTGGACTGACACAGCTGAGGGGAGCAGCGGGCAAGTCAGGAGAGGTCTACTGTGCACAGGGGTCAGCTCCCTGGCTGGGACTGAACTCGTGTTGAGCAGTGGCTGCAGACAGCTACACAGTGCTGCGCTTTAACCCCTGCACTCCCAGGGTCCCTCAGTGTTTGAAGGAGGCACCCTGCTCTCAGATGTCTTTTAGATCCAGACTTGGACTTACCATAACTCTCCAGGCCACTGAGGAACACAGGTCCAGAACCAGCCCGGAGCTGAAAGGTGACTGGAGGGGAAAATTCCAGCCCTGAAGTGATGACCTGCAGGGGAGGAACATGGGGCAGGAGCAGAGGGTGCAGGTCACTCAGGCCCGGCACCTGGACGTGGCCTCTGGCAGAAACGCTCAGTTTATTCCCCAGACGCCAAGCACACACACTTCCCAGCTTCCCAGGCCCCTAGACCTTCCCTGAAGTGGACTCTGTTAAAGGAGAAGGTGAATCTGATCACTTTATTGTTGCTCTGGTCACAGACGGGCTTCCCAGTGAGCAGCAGCTGGTGACGAGGGAGTCTGGCTGCTACAGGTGAACTGTGCTCCCCTCACCCCGCCGGCCCCCAGCACCTGTACTGAAGCCCTGACTCCACTGTGTCGGGATCTGGGGGCCTGGCCTGTGGGGGCCCTGAGTGTGGGCCTCAGGATAGGAACAATGAAACCAGAGAATTTATGTTCTTGTTCTCCTTCTGAGGACACAGAGAAGGAGGCCATCTGCAAGCCAGGAAGAGGACCCTGTCCTGAACCCCACTGTGCTGACACCCCGACCTCAGACTTCCAGCTGCATGCACTGAGGAAATAAAGAACTGCTGTTTACTGAGGTACTTTGTTACAGCAGCCTGAGCCAGCTAAGAAGTGAATCAAATAGGAAAGTGGATGCAAGGTTCTGTGTAAAAACCACCTTGGCCTTGTAAGCAGTGAAGAAATGAATGAAGAATGAGGAAGCAGGGAAGAAATGAAGCATGAAGAAAGTCGAGCAGTATACTCAAGTGCTGCCGAAAAGCTCTGAGGGGTGACGTGTCTGTCTCTTCTTTAGGCCTTTCCAAATGTACCAAATGTTCTAGATTAAAAACAGCGCTCATTTATTAAGTCCCTACGATGGGCCAGGCCTCATGTGTTTTACCTGCTTCTCCCTTTGACTCTTCACAACACCCACAAAAGAAGTGCTATTACCTTACAGAGGGAGACACTGAGGGCAGGCAGAGCTGAGAAGAGAGCCTCTGGCTTGGACAGGAAACAGATAGGTGAAAACAAACTCTGCAGTTGCGAACTTTAAGAGTTCTGGATAAAAGTGATCTGATATTTTCACTGCCCGGCTGAAAGAGCAGCAGAAAGAGGTCCACACTCAAAGATAAAGGGGTGCGAGTGAGCTGATGCCCTGGAAGGGAAGTGCCTGTGTGAGCAGCTGGGACTTTGGGTGTCATTCTCACTGTGAGACCTCTCACAGGACTGGCCCTCCACAGAAGGGTCCTGGGCAGGGAACAACAGGACCCCCAGCTAGACATTACCTCCATCAGAGGAGGGAGACCTCGCAGGTAGAAGTGGGGTCTCTGGTGAGAACCAGCTTTGCACGTGTGTCAAGTCCCGACTTACAGGCCAAGCCAAGAAGTTTTTACTTACCACAGCCCAGAGATCTGTATACATTGCAGGCTGGTGAGATCTCTGGGGCAAATGGCAGATGCCAACACGAAACCACTGTGAGGACACTCTCGATTCTCTCTCACACAGAATTCTTTCAGAGAAAGAGAAACAACTGCCCTGATGACAACTCCAGCTCTACAATTACAAAGCACACAAGCAACAAGCCTGCTGGAGTCAGCAGAAAGGAGCCCAGTGACAGCAGAGGAGAACCGTCAGAGCTGGAGAGATCTAGGCCACAATGGAGTAAGGCTGATGGCGGTCAAATAGAGAAAAAAGTAGGAGTCAGAACTGCAGAACAAGATACCCTGAAAAGTAGAACCGAATGCAATTTCTAGACATGGAAACAAGCACTGAAATAAATGGTACAAATGGTTAAAAAGCAGAAAGAAACAGGTGAAGCAAGGAATCCGGAGCCTGGAATAGTGCTGGGAGGAAGCCACACAGGAGGCGGCCCAGAGAGAGAGAGAGAGAGAGATTATCAAAATGTAGCAGCGAGGTGGGAGAGCAGAGGCCCGCTGTGCCCCAGAGAGGGTAAAGGACTGGAGGGTGGAGTCTAGAGTCACGGAGATTATAGCAAAGTGTTTTCCAGAAATGGTCAAAGACACAGATGCAGGAAGCCGAAGTCCTGAACAGGTAAATTAAATTAAATTAAATTAAACAGGTAAATAAATTAAACCTGTAGAGGTCGGGGTAGGTAGCAAAAACAGACATTATGTTAAAATAAACCAGAGAAGAAAGACATTTTTTGAAAAAAGGAACAGTAGCCAGACAGACTAAGGATTTCAACAGCATCAGAAATCAGCAGAACAGGAAACATCTTAGTGTTAAGGGATTCCACCCACCCCGCAGTACCAATGCAGGGAGGGTAAAAGATCTCCAGGCTAGACCCAATCAGTTCACTACCCCCAGGTCTACTAAAGGGTGTTTCAGAAAGATGGAGGAGGAAATGGGGCAAACAGCCGTGGGGGTGGGGGGTGGACGGGTGCGTGGGTGGGTGGGGGGTGGGATCCAGCTGGCAAACAGTGGGGACCAGTGGTGTTCCATCCCAGATGGCAACATGCACACCTAGAAGAGAGTGAGACAGCTCCCTGGATTATTGGGAGGAATAACACATTCTTTTTGGTCACTGGTCATACAAGATTGTTAAAAAATTAATGATAACTATGGAAAAGGCACAAAATGATGTAAAAATAAACTATTATGATAAAAAATTGATAACTGCTAAAAATTAGAGATTCCATAACTTCCAAATCAGTACAAAGGGGAAAAGAAAATTTTAATCAGTCTAATAAAAGGGGAGAGCCCCCAAAATAAAAAGTGAAAAAGAAACAGAAGTAGATGCACAGAAAACATGCTACAAATAAGTTTATATATGTGTGTGTATCTCTCTCTCTGTGTGTATTCATGTACACAGGGTCACAAGAAATAGAAACAGACTATATCAGCCAGATAGATTGAAATAAGGTTTAGTTTAGACTGTTTACCATTTACACACCTAAAACATTAAAATAGAACTATGGAAGAGATGGAAATATATATACCAGATGAGGCGAGGCCTCTAGTTCTTACCAAATATCCCTCCTTCGTAGGCCTCTAGTTCTTACCCAGTAAAGTTACTCCTTCCGTAACTTTGCCCTGGTAGTATTCAAATGCTTACACAACTGAAGGCTGTATCCCTTAATTATTATCCCTTAATTTCTTTTGTAGTTAGCTGTGACCATTTCACTAGTTTCTAGACCAATGAGGCTTAAGCAAAACTTGGTGGATGGTATTTATGTGAAGACTCTTTAAAGTGTGAACAGAGAACTAGAAAAGCCCCTTTGGTCTTTCTTTTCTTCTTTCCTATTATCTGAAGAGCAGAAATGAGGGCTGGTGCAACCTTCCTGGACTCTAAGGTCAGCTTGCAGGCAGCTGCTCTACCCTCAGGATCGGAGAAAGACAAGAGGAGACTTGGCCATAGGTAACCACCAAATCACCTCACCAGCTCTGGGCTGTTCACCTTTGGATTTCGATGCAAAACAGAAATGAACCTCTAATTTATTTAAGCCCCTGTAGTTGGGCCTGTTACTGCAGTCATTTATGACTGTATGAAAGTGAAGTTAGTGGCGGCACCTGGTGAGGGATGTTCATAATGAGGAGGCTACGTATGTGTGGGGGTGGGGGAGAGGTGGGAAAGCTGTACCTTTTCAATTTTATTACAAACCCAAAACAGCTCTTAAAAAAAAATAAACTTCTAAAATGAAATGCAGCTGGCTGTATTTGTTATCATTATGTTTGGTAACAAAGGACAGAAAACCAGCAGTAGCTTACATAAGATAGAAGCTTCTTTTTCTCACATAACTGAGTCCAGATTAAGCAGTTAGCTGCAGGGCTGCTAAGCCAGCAGGGATCCAGGCTCTCTGTGCTGTTTTTTCCCCACCCTCTTCAATACATGCTTTCTACCTTCTGGCCCAGAATGGCTGCTCAAGTTCTAGTCATTGCATCCACATTCCAGCAGGCAGAAAGGAGGGAGGGACAAGACTGGTCACATAATCTCTTTAAGGACATTCTGCTGATGTTACAGATAGGCTTCTTATTTATCACCGTCCAGGGCTTTATGACCATCCTTAACCGAGAGGGGTGTAGTCTTATTCTCAGCCACCTTGTGGTCAGGTGAAAGTCTTGAATTTCATTACTATAAAGTAAAGAGATACTGAATCTTGTGAGACAACTGTGAAACACACTAATATCAGATGACACAGACTTTAGTTCACGATGCATTTTAGGGCTAAAGGTTATAGACTGATTTTTAAAAAATCTATTAATAAGGAAGATAATTCTGTGAATTATGTGCACCAACAGCATAGCCGAAACACACATCAAGCCGCTGCTGTGATATCTGTGGAGGGACAGACACACAGGTAAACAGAAGACCTAGAACTGGACCCGTGCAAATACATGCAACTGACAGTCCATGAAGCTGTGCAATCTGTCAAATGGGTGAAGGACAGTTTTTCAACAAGTGGTGCTGGAACAAAGGGTCTCTATAGACAAAGAAACGCAGCCACTGAAATTTTGTACCATATACAGACTAACTCCAAGTGAATCACTGACTTAAATGTGAAACATGAAATTTTGAGCAAATAAACATGGAAAATTTTCATGACCTCATACTAGGCAGAGTTCTTGGATTTGACAGTACAATTACAAAAGGGAAAATGTAAGAAAAGGGCTTCGCCAAAAAAACAAAAATTCATTCTATCAGAGTGCGTGTGAAGAGGACTAAAAGACAAGTTATAACTGGGGGAAAACATTTTCAAACTATCTGACAAAGGACCAGTAGCTAGAATACATAAGGAATCATCAATACTCGGTAGTAATAATCCAGCCCAAATGTAGTTAAAGGACATGAGAAGACATTTTACTGAATATACAGTGGCAGATTAGCACATGAAAAGATGTTCGACCTCATTAGCTATTACGGCCCACATATTAGGAATGGTTAAAATAAGAAACTGACAACATGAAATGCTGCCCAGATAAGGGTACAGAGAAACTCAGTTACACATGCATCACTGGCAAAATGCCAATGTTCACTTTAGAAAACAGCTTCACAGCTTAAGAAACTGAACATGCACCAGCCACAGGGCC